TGATATAAGTCACACTATTAAGATGCAATAAAATGACACAGAGTATAAATAACTTTCTTTATTTTAATTCTTTTCTCAAACCTGAAACAATAAATAGAGATAAAGAAAATACAATTCAGACAAAGGATACATTAATGTTAGAAATGATGAAATAAACTAACTAACATTGTATCTTAAGTAGCTCTCACAATCTTTGTCCCTTACTCTGACTACCAAAAAAAAAAGCTTCAACTACCTCCTTAAATAGTCTCATCCCCAACAATCTCTAGAACCTTCTTCTCATGCCTACTCTATCTTAACTTTCACTCTTCTTTTCCCACTTACACATGTAAGCGTGACAATTAAAAAGTAGAAAATGTAGAAGCAAAAAAAAAATATCTGCTAAATAGAGGCTGGAAAATATACAAAATAAAAGCCTGAGTTTTATCGCAAAAGAAGTCATATTAACTATTGGTGAAATCACTAAATTTATAAATACTGTAGAACAGAAGACCAAAAGAAATATATAAATAAATAACTAACTTGTAAATTTTGCATGTAATGTTAAAGAGAAACTGGGGTATAAATGTATATCTTGTGTGCTATGGACAAATGTTTGCTCTAATCATGTATTGTTTTTTGTTATGCATATATATTCATACATTCAGAGTATACATTCTCTGGAACTGCCAGGGTTGATTTCACTAAAGAGAAACAAAATTCATTGTAGTCCCTTTATCAGTGTCCACAGAGGAATTATTATTATTATTAAAACACTAAACCATAACTTACAAATACAAAACCTAAAAAGTACTCAAAAAGAACAAAAACAAAAGCACATTTCTTTTTTTTATTTGCTAGGACTCCATGACCAATTTATAAATGTATTCTTGTGTTTCCATGAATCAGCCAGGAAAACTCAAGATTATTCTCTAATATGAATGACTGGTTAACATATAGATCTGTGTGTCTTTTTTGAAGGAACATTTATAAAAGAAGATATTAGTTTAATCTAAGTTGAAATCTATAATACTTTACATTTTACTGTTATGTAAATGTTGCTTTATCCTATACATTTAGGTTCATGTAAAAATCTGTATGATGATGTCCAGTGTGAAATTTGGTCCCAGAAACTGGAATGTCTGAGTAACCCAGAATGGATGATGAAGCACTGTACAAAAGCTTGTGGAACTGGCAAATGTGCCGGAGTGACATCAGCTACAGTTACCACAAGAAGACCTGGTAGTGGATCTACCAAATCAACAGCTAGACCTGTGGTGACCATAACTTCCTGTAAGAATTTATAATTAGCTGACTTCTATGAAGGAGCCACAGCTTACTCTTTTTTGCATGATTTAAACAATTTTAGTTGACAAATATGTAGCTAACATCATGATGAGCAACCCTAAATATTAATCCATTATTTCTTAAGAATAGATGTAAATTACTTATTAGAACTGAGTAGTATTAAGGTATCCTATCAATAACTGGGTTACAAGTTGTTGTTTTTTTTAAATTTAAAAGCAGATGAGTATGTTTTTTCTATTAAATGTAAGGTACATGTTGTGGCTAACACTGTCCAAGATAATTTTATTTCTACCAGTTTACTGAGTTAGTCACATATACCATGTGATTTTCAACTCAGTACTCTGTCCTGAATATATAACTAAAAATCTCTAAAACAAAAAAAAAGTATAAAATGCCACAATAAGTTTTGTTATTTACTTCCCTTCTGTTGAAATAGTCCTTCTTTTTATAGCCATCTTCATGCTGCAGAACTGTAGGCTCTTGTACAATCAATGTCCTGGCAAAGTATAGAGGTTATGGAGTCCAATCTTTGCTTTGAAAAGCTGGCCACATACATATTCACTGTGTGGTCATAACTTTTATAGAACATCAAAACATCATATTACTAGATTATTTCTTTATGTCATCACATGATTTGTCTAATTATATCCATAGCTACTTGCAATAATCTGCATAATTCGGACACTGAATGCCAGATATGGGCTAAGAATGACCACTGCCACATCAATCCCCGTTGGATGAACAAGAACTGCTACAAAGCATGCTCTGGCTGTGATGGATCGACCATACTGACCACTACACCTACACTGGTCACTGGCACAGGTGTGTTGGCCTGACATTATGTATTGAAGTTCGAATTGAAATCTGTTAATGCTATAGTTTCTTTACTTCACTTATGGTAAAGGATGGTAATGCTAATGTGACATGAATGATGCATTTTATTGCAAGAAAAAATATCATGTCATGTTGACTGAACATTTTGTAGAGCAAGAAAGAAATTTTACAGCAGGATATGTGTGTGAAATTAAATCATACTAGTCAACCCACGGTGTAGCGTACACCGTTATTTTGCAGGGCCGGCCTTAGGCCAATGCAACCTGTGTGGCCAATGTGGGCCCTGCACTTTCAAAGGACCCATGCTAATTCTAGGTGTAAATTATTAAATTAAAACAGAATTCCTGCAGCCTCCTGATTAACCAGGAGCTCCTTAAAATCTCCTGAAATTGCAAAATATAAGAAAAAGTCATGGAATGGAAATCTCAGGAAATTATTAAAATCTTTTGAGAACTAAAAAAAAAAATTTCCTGAAATATATAGACAAAATATTGTCATTTTGGTGTGTCATTTAAAAATAGAAAACGCCAATCCTACGCACGATGTAAAAAAAGGCATTGTGGAATCTGGTGAAAGATGCTTCTGGTGCCTCAAACTAATAAAGAATTACTTGAGGTCAACAATTCTCGAAGATAGATTGAAACATTTGGTAATTCTTGCTATTGAGCGTGATCTATCAGGAAAAAATTTTTTATGACATACTGTATGGCTTCGCTACATGCAAGGCTCGTAAAATAATTTTGCAGGTAGTAAAGAATGAATAAAATGCAGAGTAATGTATTTTCTAATACAAATTCTTAATTTTCACTACCAAAACTTGGCCCCCCCAAATCAGTTTCGCGTTGAGCCCGGCCCTGCTATTTAGTGATGGGTGAATACAGAGTAGATTACTTGTTCTCCTTGCCCTCCCTTCCCTTTTTTTGGCCGCTAAAACTATGTGGGGTAGAAATAAAAAAGAGTGATCTTTCCATGACCTCTTGGTCACAACGATTAAGTCGGCCCTGCTATGTTGTGACAGGTGAGTACTGCTTGTTCTCCCTCCCCCCCTCTTTTTTGTTTTCGTAGGGTAACTCTGACAGAAATAAAAGAGTGATCTTTCCTTTACTTCTTGTCCAAACTCTTGAGCCATGAAGAGAATTATATATATAGATTGATAAACACAATTGGATTCAAATACAACGGATTATGATATCAAGTGTAGTTAAACAAGAAAAACACATTTCTAAGAAAACATTTAAAAGTTTATGGCTGATATGCATCCATCCATAGATACAAAATTTTGATTGTAAATTTGTTAATTCATTAGTTATGCATTTCTTTTTTGTCATCCTGTGCAGCCATTTGTACCAGCCTTTTAAGAGCATCTGTCCTTTTCCTTGTCTCCAATTGTATTTCATTCAATATCTTCATTGTTTCTGATTTTTTAAATTCTTTGATCACTAGTTGACAATCAAAACACATCCAACTGATTAAAACATTTGTTGAACTGATACTTCTATTACAATAACAACATTTTTTTTTCCCAGTTTCAGTGATCACAGGAGATCAGTGTGAAGACATGAATGAAGGCTGTCCTGGGTGGGCTAGAGATGGTTATTGTGACAGTAATCCTAGATATAACTTGATCTACTGTAAGAAGTCTTGCAATAATTGTAATGGTAAGTGTATGATATTCCTACTTTCATTATAACAAAGAAAACCAATGACTTCATTAATTGAGTTTAGGTCCTAATTAACATGAATGACTAGATTAACATTTGGGTACACTTAGGACATAATTCTCTTCTTTTTTTAATTATAAAATTATTTTTTTTTAATCCTATAGAATTAACTCTTCAAGACCGTAATAACGCTGACAGCGACCAGTCTCCCGGCCGTGCTAACATAATGACGCTTCCAGCGTCCGATCACTATTTCCCTGTTTACTTCTTTTTCTTTTCTAATCCACGTTTTTAATCCCTTAAATGGTTTAAGGAAACGCTAGAGCGGCCATTTTGAAAGTTTTTTCCTTCTGATACTTTGTTGATCTAAGCTGTTTTTATTGTTCTAAATATTTTTTTTTGTAAGTGACTAGTGAATTTTGCGTTTTTTTGCATCAGACATCATGGCTGACAGACCTTCTTGCCGTTTTACTGCTGACGAGGCTCTAAATATCTTTTTAGATACGAATGATAGTGACATGAGTGACTTAGACTTAGAGTTAGATAGAGATTCTAGACCTAGAAAGTTATAATGAAAGCGATTTTCAGACTCAAGCGAGTCTGATAGTGAATTATTCATCCCTAGATCTAGTAAAAGTAGTAAACGAAAGGGGCGTCGCCCAAGCCAGGCCCTAGTAGATCTAGAAAGAAACCTCACTAAAAGTGTAAATATTGATCAAGTTTGACAAAGTTATGTTTTTTAAATAGATAATTGGATAAAGTTTAATATTTCATACAATAATAATGATTGAGGACTGTTGGAATATTCTTTTTTCACTTGGGAAAGTCAGTTTTTAAAGATTAAATTAAAAAAAAAAATTTTCATCTCTGAAATTACCTAATTTTTTTTTCCAGTGACTATCTATAACATTGAAAGATAAAGTATCTTGTAGTACATTCAATTTCCAACAAAATTTTATATAACATGTCTATGTTTTAACAAACAGAAAAAACAGTATGATGTTTATAAAAAGGCTTATGTGATAAAAATTGTGGGGAAAAAAAATAATTCCGGTAGAATGAGAAAAAAATTACGGTTTTTAAGAGTCAGTCTGAAAAAAAAATTATTTGATCAATGTTTTTTCTTAGGTTGTAGAGATACTGAAGTGTTATGTTCTGTTTGGGCCAAAGATGGCCACTGTGAGAGAAATGCTCGTTTCATGATGAGACATTGCCAGAAATCCTGCCAGGCCTGTCTAATGTAAACAATATTCTACTTCTTTTACTGACCAACGGGCACTACTTATGGAACTTGTCACTTTGATTTCATTTTCCTTCTGCTTGGATAGCACACGCACTTATTTGTAATGTCATTTTGTTTTCTCAATTTATTAAAACTGCTTCAGACCAAATAGATAGCAATTTTTTTTCTTGTCTTTTTTGTTTTGTCTTTCTCTCTTTGTCTCTCACTCTTTATTCTCTCATGAGCATCTCTTTGTTTCTCTTTCTGTCCTTGTCTGTTTTATCTGTCTCTCTCTTTCTGTTCTTTTATTTTTATATACTATTCTTCTGTATATACTGTAAATATCAATTGAACGTGTATATATATATATATATATATAGAGAGAGAGAGAGAGATGCTTTAATTTCATGTGTAAATTACTTCAATAGCATGTCACATTGAACTTCTGGTATCTTGGTAAGATTTAAGCTCTTCAAAAACAAAATACAAAAGTAAGTTTTAATACATTCATATTTTGTACTTAATTGATTTTAATCAAAACACTAATTCATGCATGACTTCCTACAAATATCTCATTACTATCAGCTCCATGTATTGGCTTTATAATGTACATCATGATTTGTATCCAGTTTAAATTATAATAGGGCTATTTAAAAACAATATAGAAAATGTATGAAATAAGGTATGTTGTTTTTTTACCATATTTAACTTGGAAGTAATGTGCTTTAAGTGTAAAATTATAGTACTTAATTCAGTAATTCAAGTAAACAGAAACAATTAACATTATCTTTAAAAAACAATTCACTATTTTCATTAGCATGAAAATAACAAGATTGCAGTGGTATAGTTTGGAAGTGAGTTTTAAAAAAGTTTAATTTGTAAGCTGAATGGACAAGCATGTTTTAAGAGTAGTGACCATGTATTCATTGTTTGTGTGTCTTGTATTCAGAGTGTTCTCTGTCACTGCAGGTATGAGGCCTTAGATCAACTAAAGCCTGTTGACAGTGTTACTACTCCAAAAGCTAATGGGAATGCTGCCATAGCCTTAGTGTCATCATTGTGGTCTTTGATATTAATGCCTGTGTCAGTTACTTACTTCAGATATCTTTTGTAAATATTTGATAGTTGTTAACTAAATTTAAATAATTGAATATTTTTGCATTATTATATTATTTATTATCATTTCAAAAATGTGTCTCTTATTTCGCCAGTAGGCAAAGTAGGAGGATCAATATTATTAAAGAAATATAGACACACCTCTTTTTTTCCCTTTTTAATCAGTTTGAATAGTTCCTCCCCACCCTCTTTTTTTACACTAACATCCCAACACCAATCACAATGAATATTTAATTACATATTGCTGATGAAGAAAATGAAACATTATTATGAAACATCAATTCTACCAGCCAATTGACCTATATCTGTTTGCTGAAGACTGAATAATGAGGGGAAAAAAAGGTTAAATAAGTAAACTGAATAAGCAAGAAAAAGTATGTCACAAAATGTAAATCATAAACAATCATATTAAAATGTATTTCACTTTCATCTAAGGTTTTATTGATGTTGTAAAATAATAAAGATTTGTATATATCAAATAGACTTGTTGCAGTTTGTTTTTTTCTAGCTATTTTCACATAATTTTGGTAGGGGACATCTTATATATGATGATTGGGTCCTACGTGTGTTCCTAGTTCAATCTAGTCATGTATGTTAGCCAATGACTTAAATTCTGAAAAGTCATTGGTTTTCCTGGCTGGCTCAAGCAACCCATTCCTTGCTCTAATCACACTATGGAAGAAGCATATGGAACAAGGAATGTACCTTTATCTGTGTTTTCTGAGTATTTTATTAGGTTTTGTATTTGAACATTATTTATGGTTCAATGTTTTATATATAGTTGCTACTTTACTTTTAAGTCTTCTATTCTGAAGGCTTTCTAAATTTAACTGATTTTACTAAAGGTGTTACTCTACTCAAATGTGAATATTCATTTATTATGAATCTCACTGCTCTATTTTGTGTCTGTTTCAGTTTCTTAATCTTTTCTTGAGTTGAGGGGTCCCATAGGATGCTTATTCTATTATTGGCCCAACTAAGGTTAAATCACATTTTAGTTTTATGTTTTTATTTGATTTGTAGAGATTTCTTTTAATAAACCCTAATGCTTTGTTTGAATTTTTAATAGTTTTATCAATATGGGGATTCCATGACATTTTTCATTTATTATAACACCTAGGTATTTTGCGTTTTTAGTCTGTGTTACTGGTTTACCATGAATAATTTTAAGATAAGTGGAATGTATTTGTTCTAATTTTTTTTTTTGTTACTCTTAATAAGTTACATTTTTCTGGGTGGAAAGACATGCTCCAATTCGATTACCATTTCTGTAATTCATCTGTAAAATTTCTGTATCTTGTGTTCTATATATTATGCAATCATCTCTGCAAATAATCTGACTTTTTTTCCTGAACTAATGCAATTTGGTAAATCATTTATGTAAATTAAAAATAGTAGTGGACCTAATAAAAATATGTACTGTTCCTTGTGGTAGGCCTACACCTGAGTTGTATTCATGTTGATTTAGAGCCATAATTATTATTACAGTTTGTTCTCTCCTTATCAGAAAATCCTGAATCCACTCATGCAATGAAGTATCAATGCCAAACTATTTTAATTTTTTTAAGCAAGCTATGATGGTAAACTTTGTCAAAAGCCTTAGAAAATCTAATAAGATAGCATATATCTACTTTGCTCACTATTATCTATTTTAAAAATTTTAAAAGTTGATTTAATTCAACTAAAAATTACATGCTTTTTATTTACTGACATTGTTTCAAATGTTGCTGTAACACTGAATATATTATAAAGAGTTAATTGTAAATAACTTTTTTATGTAGCCACTTTCATGAAGCCTAGCTAGCAGATCAGCACCTGAATAGGTATCAGCACTATCTAAAATATCAACTAAAATTGATCCAAACCTATTTGAGAGCTTCCAAAGGATATGCGCATTTGCCTGACTTGGCATTACTAGCACTGAGAAGGAGATGATTGAAACAATTCACTTTAATGTTGTCATTTAGATCTACAACTGTAACAGCAGCATTTCTCAAACTGTGGCGTGCACTAGAGGGAAGGGGGGCAACTTCCTGACAAGAGGGCTCTACGACCTGAAAAGGGGGCGGGTGAGGGCTGGGGACTGAAACTTGTCAATTTCTCAATGGACAAGAATTTTTTTCATTGTAGTTATAAATTCGTGTTTGAATATTAATCAAGTAAAATGACATTATTAAATTAGGCCTACAAATGCATAAAAAAAAATTATGTTAGAGCCTTCCTCTTCTAAGTAGAAGCCTATCTTTTAAAACGTATATTGTTTTTGCTAAAGGCTTCTGCAGACTGCAACAAAATATTTTGAAGAAATTTCAAAACGTCCCTGTTAACACAAGTCTTTTCGACTTTATTTATGTTGGAACAGTCAAATTTCTTTCGCATTTGTTATGTTTTCCATTGTTATGTTGAATTATAATTTTATAAATAAAGCAGCAACAAGACATCTTATTTAACACAAAGATGAATGTCCATCAATGCTTCCTTCTGTATTAGACGCATATTTTTTTGTGTAAACAAGGATTAATAGTGAGCTTAACACAACAGTTAAATATCGGCAGAACCCACCATCCCCCTTTATTTTCTTTAACCTTTTTTTTTTTGTTGTTTTCTTCTTACTCCAAGAAAAGTACCTTCCAAGCGCCAGGAGAAATGAAAACAGTTTTAAAAATATAGATAATTATACAATGTCTCTTATAACCTTGAAACCTTCAAAACATTGGGGGGGGGGGGGGGATATGTCATTTGAGTGGGTAGGCCTAATATTCAAACTTTGATTGATAACTAAAATGAAAATACAACTTTTTAATTTTACCCTTTTAAAATAATTAGAAATTCCCATTGGTCAGGGCATTGTTCCCCCTTGAGAGAACATCACATCTCTTTATGGGTTGCCCCCTCGCACAACTTAAGAAAAGCCTCACTAGATCAAGCAAGTTTATAATGGACTTTCATAAGATCATCCTTTAGGTGTTTAGCAAGACGTCTTTTAGTTGGTCTGTTCTTTAAAAAAAAAAACGTCAATAGTACGATTGTACCTTAATCCGAAGAAATTGGTCCGTTCTACCATAAAAGGGAGGTAGACAATAGCATTGCATTGTTGAGAGGCATTAAAAATTTTTTTTAAAAATCTTTGATCTTATTGCCAATGTAGAAAGGTTCTACTTAGAGGATGAAACGACGTCCTTTCAATTAATATAATTATTTTTTTTGAAGTTTGGTAATAATGCTGTTTTTACCTGATTAATACAAAAATATAAAATAACTACAGTGTAAATACAAACAATTTTATTAAAAAGAAAGACCATCTTTGCATCATTTAAGGCCTTAAATAAAATATATAAATACATAGTAGATAGTGGAGTAATGAGTAGTACTGCAATAGATATTATAAGCCCATCAAGTTAAGTTATATATACCTAGAGATTTTATTTTTACTGATGTGTGTAGCCTGGTGTGGACCGCACCTCCTAGTGACGCCACTCCTAGCAAGACATTTTAATAACTTAGCTAACCGGTCATGCTCTATATATAGAGAAGAGGCATCATAAATATCGGCGCCATATCGTTATAACATTCAAAAATTCAAATAATATTAACAAATCAGAAAAATGTTGCCAATTTTATTTGTTACTTCTATCCACTTAGAATATAAAAAAAGTGGCTGAATAGGCCTTTGGACTCGATCAAAGAAATATTGATACTAATTTGAATTTGTATCATTAAAAAAATTACACGTTAGACAATAATAATGACTTTGATTAATTATCATTATATATAGCCTACTATGAGGAACCAAACATTTCATTCACTAAAAATTATTAACAGTCTGAGCTTCAAGTCCTTTTATTATCACTAAACTGATATAATATGGGTTCGAAATAGCTATTACAAAACACTTATTCCCCCCCGCCCCCCCCCCCAAACCCTAGATCTCAAAGAAAATCCAAAAGCTTTTTAGCTCTGTCTATATAGTCTATGATTTATATATATAATCTATGACTCTTCGCACATCACCAACCACGAAGAGCTCTTTGTAAGAAACAGTAACTCTCATTTAAAAAAACACGCTGCTAACCGAAAAGCTGTGGTAA